CCGCCCGGTGTGACCCCGCTGTCCCCCAGGACCTCTCGCCCCGCCCCGCACGGGCCCCCGCCCGCGTGACGGGGCCTCCTGGGGGTTCGGGGCCAAAGCTGCTTTGTATTCCCGAAGGGGCCAGGCACCGCACGCCGCCGGCCTCTTCCCTCCCCAGCCTGCTGATGCGGGCGTTCGGGGTCCCCCTGCCCGCTCCGCTGCCTCTCGAAGCCCCCGAGGTGCTGTCCCCCCTAGAGACGGGCGGCCCTGACCCTCAGCCAGCGTGCACCCCGCGAGGCTTCTGCGAGCTTCCCCGGCCCCGCCTGCCCTGGCCCAGCTCGGCTGTTGTGTGCCAAGCTCCGGGTTGCTGAGTGGGAGGAAAGAACCCGGGGCCACGCTGGTGCACAGGCGAAGTGCTGCTCACACGTGCGCGTTCGCGTCACACAACGAGGGCACCCGCACTTTCGAGGCTCATCCATCCAGGAAAAACTCACCGGCGCCCTCTATGTGCCGGGCACAGTGCTGGGGCCTAGGAACGCCAAGGTGACCCCAAGGTCACGGCTCCCTCCCAGCGGAATTCACATCTTAGGGGCCTCGGACGCCAGAGAGGTGGGTGACTCAAAGCTTGGAGGCGCCTTTTTAAGGAAAAATGAGGTGAGGAAACAAGTCTGGGACCTTTTCCGGGTTTGGGAAAAGACTTAAAACCAAGAAAATTGGAACAGTCGGGAAGGGGTGGTGGCTCCCCTCGGTGGGGCAGGGAGGGCAGAACTCCACGGAGGGGAAGAGCTCGAATTTCCCACCCGCACTAGGTAAGTGGAGGCCTTAGGCAGAGAACCACTTTAAACTTCTGGGAGGTGCTGTGAACTCAGGGCGCACGCTGCAAAGAGGGGGCTGCCCGGGCTGGAACTTTTCCAGCCGGAAGTGCTGGGCGAGGTGCCTGCGCTGACGGCCAAGCCCCGCTTGGATGTGCTGGCGGGTCCACTCCCTTGCCCGGCCGAGGAACGTGCACACGGCTCTGTGGAAGGAGTCCACACCAGACCGCGGCCCTGGGTTTCTATGTGAAAGACCGAAGGGTGGCCAGCGCTGGGAGGGACGCAGGCGCGAGCCAGGCAGGGAGTCCCGGGCCACTGTGGGGGTCCCTGCCCTGGTGCCCTCTTCGAGGCCTTCTTGTGGCACTGTGCTGCTGGGTACAGGCGATCCCTGCGCGGGCACTGAAAATGGTGCTGAGGCTGCACCTGCTGCTCCAGAAAGAGGGAGAAGGGCCTTCACTCAGCTTTCGGTCACATCTCACCCATGCTGGGACAGCAGGGCTTTGTGGAGCACACTCAGGTAAAGCCAGCTAGTGTAGGAAACCTGGAGGATTTCATCGCTTCCACAATCACTCAACAAACTTGCAGGAAGCCCTTATTATGTTCTAGGCACCGGCCAGGTTTTGAGCAAATACTAAAAAGCCACAACTTCTGTCAAGCTCCTCACAAGATCCTCCTAGTTGTGTGGCAGTGGGCAAGCTACTGAACCATGTTAGGCCTCACTTGTCTCACCTGTAAAATGGGGATGTTAATAGTTTTCTTCCAATATTACAGGTTAAAAAAGGCCAACTACGTAAAGCATGTTATACAGTATGTGGCCATTAGTAACCACTGGGTAAGCAGCAACTATTATCACTGTGTGTTAGTGTGCTACAGTATTAGTGTCATAGTGTGTTAGTGTAATGTATTAGTGTATTGTTCTACTGATGAACTCTGAGAACTGAATTACTCTAAAGTCTTTTTCTGACACTGTTACACATTAAATTAAGTGTAATTACCTCATAACTGGATATCTCGAAACAGTGCCTCAAAAGGAATAGTCCTATAATATCATGGGAAGAACTCAGTTCTTGCTCAGAGCACCAGATTATCTTAAGTAAAATGTCCAGCGGCTCTGCACTGTAGTGAGAGTTGTGCATCTGGAGTCTCTTACTAAGAAGCGTCCCCTGAGCAGCTGTGCTGTGGGTAAGTGCGTAAGTACCCTGGGTACTCAGAGTCCGAGACGGCGCCCTCATGAGCAGACGCCAAATCAGAAACCACAGTGCAGAGTGGCCCAGAGCTACCAGAGCAGAATTCTGACCGAGTTCTCCTTTTCCTCGGTCCTCACACTCCCCGATCAGCCTGAGGACCCCGCCTAGAGCCCCGACTGCCTCGTGATCGTGCCACGCAGAAGTGACCTCCCACTGCGGACGCCCCTGAGTGAGCGCAGATGTGGGATGCCCTGGTTTTCCTTGGAAGAGATTGTTTAATTGGAAACCCAGCAGGCCACAGGGGTGCCGCGGAAAAGGAGGGGATTTCAGGTCACCCTGCATAGTTTGAGTCACACTTCAGGAGCTGTGTGAGCCCAAGCCATCGCCTGCCCCGCTCCTCTGAACCTCTTTCGTCATCATAAAATAAGAATACTACTTCAGCATTTTAAAAAACAACAAAAGACAAAGATGAAGCGAGGCAAAGCGTTTGTAGATGAATGACGCTCCTTATGCTTGTAAGTGATGCAGGCGGTACTTCAGCCTCAGCTTTGCTGGGCCACCGCGGTGGGCTTCCATGCTCCCACCAGTGAGTTCCTTCAGGATGGGCCGCTCCACCCTTCAAGAAGGGAAAGGAGGGGCCGGGGATTTAGCTCAGCGGCACAGCGCCTGCCTGGCAAGCACAAGGTTGTGAGTTCGATTCCCGGTACCAGAGAAAAACAAAAAAAAAAAATTGTAAGAAGGGAAAGGAGAAGGAAGGAGAGGAAGAGGAAGAGGAGAAAGATATTTATAAGACCAAAGTGCATTTCACAGAACGTTAACATCTCAAGATGCTGTGTAAATAAAAAAACGTTTCCTAAGTACATGTGGGAAACCACCGTGTCCTTGGAGATCTCAGGGTATGTTAGGGCATGAGAATCAGAGAAGTCCTGGTGAAGAAGCCCCAGTTACGTTCCTCTCACTCAGTTCTTCTCAGCTCACCAGCTGCTTTCTTGTTTCACGGAACACCTGCTAATGTTCCACTGAAATAGCATCCCAAGAAACACATTTTGGGGGGTTCTGCCCTAGCATAAAGGTGGGTGTGTTTTGCTTTTGGTTAAAGACCTTTGACCCATCAAAAAAAGTAATCACAAGTGAAAAGTACTTTAAAATTGTTATGACTGAGTCAAGTGCTGAACCTTTTTTGTTTTAAAGTTCTTTGCTGACTAATCAGAAAGGCTGATTCCTTTCAAATAATTTTCATACTTTTCTGTTGCAAACATATCTATGGCACTTACTGCGCGCCAGGCACAGTCCTTCCAAACCTCACACAGAACCCATCGCACCCTCCGGACAACCCAGGAAGCAGGAGCTGTTTTCTCACGTTTTTTTTTAAAGGAAGCCTAGGACAAAGAGAGGTAAGACGAGGCCCAAGGTCGTATTGGAATCTTTGCCATGGGTCTGATTCCATGGCATCTTCTTTTCCATGAAGAGTAATTCACGGTATATTTTTTCTCAGTGAAAATTATGCAAATGCCAATGTACAGCATATTCTTTTTTCAATTAAAATAGCTTAGAGGGTAATTTGTAGATTTTTTAATTTAAATATTTCCACTACTTTTTGTAGTTTTGAGACATCTTAGGATATAAATGAGGTAAATCTTAGGACGCCACCGAAGCAATGGGAATAGTTCTTGCAGTTGGTACCAAACTGTCTTCGGTAGAGTGAAGGCCCATTTTCCCAGTAGCTGGGAGGCTGATACAATATCACAACAGTTGGATGTACACCTTCTTAGATCTGATTTCCAAATATTTCGTCATTTAGTACTTTTGTGTTCCTAGATGTTTATGATGAGTAAATCTAAAATGACTTTAAATTATTGAAGTTTCAAGTACAGCAGGAAGTACCGGGTAAACCCAGACTGGAATTCACAGACTCTGTCTTTGAACCTAGACGGCTGCCAGCCCCCTAAGCCATCTGTTGGCCAGAATGGATACGCACAGGAGCTCTGGGTATTGTTTGGAAAGGATCCCCACCCGCGTGATTCAGTAGCAGGGCAGTGATGAGGAAGAAAGTTTTGGGTCCCAGGAGAGAAAAGGGTTAGGAACAGAAGATGAAGGAGCTGTTTGTGTGCTTGATAATTCTGGTGGGAAAAAAAATCTAGCATCAGCATCCGGGAGACTGCAGAGAGCTGGGATGGGGTCGTTCTGCACCAGCACTGCACGTGTGCCCACATACACAAATGCTGCCCTGAGGGCGCGTGATAATGCAGCAGTGGAAGCCTGGGATCTTGTCGCATCAGCAGTCTCAGGGAAGGCGTGGCTTAGGAGACAGCAGCGAAACCCTCATGTGGAAGATATTATAGTTAACAAATAGTATTGAACTTGCTCTGGAACACCAGTGAGGTCTTCAGTGCCCACAGAGGGAGAATTTAGAAGGGGCTGAAGTCCCACGGTAAGACAGGAAGAGTTAGGAATAGTTGTAATTGGGGCGCTGATGTGACTTCATTTGTACTCAAAAGTCTAGTAGGGCCAGATAACCACAGGAGGAAAAAAAATAAAAGTGTTTGTATATTTGTCCCAAATTGTGTCCTCTCAAAACCCGTATGTTGAAGCTCTAAACCCAGTGTCATAGTGTTTAGAGATGAGGCCTTCGGGAGATACTTGGGTTTAGATGGGGGTGGAGTCTCTCATGATGGGATTCTTGACCTTAAAAGAAGAGACAGGCGAACTGGTGCTCCCCTTTTCCTCTCTGTCCCCTTCCCCCTCCCCCTCTCTGTTCCTCTCCCCAGCCCTCTTCCTCCTCTGCTACTTGGGAACCCAGGAAATGGCAGTCATAGCAGTCTAGCAAGAACCTCACCAGAACCCGGCCATGCTGGGACCCTCGCCTTGGTCTTCCGATCTCCAGAAGCCTGAGACAATTACTTTTTGTGTCTGAGCTACTCGAGCCATGGTATTTTGTTATGGTAGCTGGAGATAAGACAATTCCTATTTCAAAACTTTTGTAAAATGTTAAGATATCTTTGTAAGTAGACATTTCTGCTATAGATAAGTGTTCTGTTTCTCAGCTTTTCAAATGTATTCAATTTTACTTGTCAGAAATTCAAAGAGCTAGGCAAAAGATACCAATTTTTCCCACTTAAAAAGTACTATTTTTAGAACAAAGATTTTTTTTCTATTTTTCAACAACTTTTTCAAAACCCTTGTGGATTATAAATTAATGAACTAGGACAACTTTCTTTCCACATAAATGACAAAGAGCTGACAGTTCTGGTGAGTATCACCATTTAAGAGCAGCTCAAGTTTCAGTCTGCAAGCTTCTCTGACGTCCCTCCTCTTTTGGAGCTGCTGTCAGAAGACCGTGAAATAAATGGGTAGTTTATCTCTGCGGGAAGTTCCCATTGTTCAGAACTGGCTCCCGCTAGGCCTTCAACCCCTTCACCCCCCCCCACCCCCCAGTTCACTATTGCTAGGGCTTCTTTCTCCAGCCTTGCAACTGTGACTGCACTTCCATGACCAAGTGCAGCTGCCCGGTGTGTGTGTTCCCTGAGAACACACTCTGAGAACACAGCTCACTTCCTTGGATATTTATAGAATGCACTCTTACAAAAAAACAAGAAAACAAAAAACTTCTCTTTCACCCTCCACTGTAGTTTGCATCTGTAACACCCTCCAAAGACCCACAAATTTGGGAAACGGTAGAACCTTTTAAGAGGCAGGACCTAGCAGGAGGTCTTCAGGTGATTGGTGCTCTTTGAAGAATAAAATCAATGTATTTTCCACCAGAGAGACAAATGAGTTGGCAGAATTTTTCATAGGGTTTATATACATGCCACAGAAAAAAGAATATTTGACTTGAAGACAGCTTGGTTTGTCTTGGCTTATATGTGCTCTCATAGGTCCTCTCCTTGGTCCCTACACAATTATCATAATAAATATTTAAAGCAGTTTTAAAAAGTTTATCTATAGTACCCAACCTACAAATAGTTTTCTCAGAAGCCACAGCTATGATATAAAAGTTTTTGTCTCTATAAAATATATGCCTCTTAGTGAATTTTTATATCCAGTTTTAAGCATTTGCTTAATATTTGTTGGTATTAAAGAAAACTGAAAAATACTCATAAGTATTCCTTAAATTGATGATTTTAACCAAAACTGCACTCTACTAATTGCTCTACTAAGTAAAAATTTTTAGTACTCAATTCAGCCACTTTGGTTTCTTCTAACTTGCTGTTTAAAACACAAAAATTTATCTTATGATCCTGGTACTACTTATTCCCATTAGCAACATTTGTTGAGCTGTTTTCCTTGAAATTTGACTAGAATAATTCATTTTTCCTTTCACATGTGCACACACACACACGATCTTGCTTTATGACTGTTAATGTTCTCCACACAGGGCCCCACAGACGCTGTCAGTTTGCTGCCTGTTTGAATTAGCCACTCCACACTGGATGGTGTGACTGCACCACAGCCTTCGAGAAGACTGAGCAAGAACACACCGCAGCACCTCTTCACGGGCATTTTCTCTCTCCTCCACATTCACCTCAAGAAGACTTTTTCATACCACTTCTTCCATATGCTTTTTCATGGAATCTGGTCTCTACTGGCCACATTTTTGAGGGTAAACAAGACAATATGTTGTGAGATGGTTTGTGAAGAAATAATCGTGTAGGGTTAGACACTTCCATGCAATAGATGAGGAGCAATTTGCTGCTTTTATTTCCATTACCTTTACTTGTGGCATTCATGGTGCAGAGATGATAGAGGGTGGTAGCCTGCGCCAGGTGAGGAAATAAAAAGGGGCTCAAGTATAAGCAAACAGGAGTGGAATGAGACGGCAGTGAAAATTATGACCATAAGGACAAAGTGAAAAGGGGTGAGTCAATCTAGTTGGGTTTAGAAACAAAAGGGGGAATATTTCAAGTCTTCACTAAACTCAGTTGAGGTGGTACAGAAAAGAATGCACACATAGAAGAAAAGTCCTAGAGTTATGAGTCTGCTTGGAATGCACCTAGATTAAAACTATGATTTCAGAGACGGAAAGCATAATGGAAAGGAATTTCAAAAGAACACTGAGCAGTACGTGAGATGTCACTGAGTGGAGATAATACTACCCTGACAGTAGTGAGTCAAAACTTATCCCAAGTTTCCTTGCTTTAAAACAGTGACTTCCAACTTTTGGAATGCATTAGAATTGCCTGGAGGGTGAGATGCCGCCGCCGCCGCCGCTGCTGCTCCTGGTCCAAGGACCACCATTCTAGAAAATCACTTCGTGGGTAGAGAAACTTGGCTCTAACGGGACAGTTGAAGACGACACCAAGTTGTTAAGCTTCAAGTCTATCAAAACATCATGAAATATACAATTTTCAGCTACATATTGAAATCAGCAGAGTTCTTTCAAATAAGAGCTTTGTGCTTTTCTAACAAACTTCAGATAATATGCTAAATTTCCAAATTGAGCTATTTGAATTTTGGAATTACCTCTGTTGTCAGAGGTAAAAGTCTGGTATTTTAAAAAGTTGCTTCCTGTCTTGAGAAACTATGAACTCTTAAAATAAGTTTCCCATGGGAAGGGCTCCAGAGGGAAGAACAGAAGCCATTGTCTTCCCTCTGTCAGATGAAATGGTCGTGCGTCTGAATGCTAAATAAATGAACAAATAAAGAGTAAGTGCATAGATGAGAGCACCCTTCAGATCTACAAAGGCAAAGCAATTTAAAACAATGTGCACATCACAATGGTAATAGCAGAATTTAATAACATGTATTAATCATATAAACAGGGAAACTCTGTTCCTCCAAGGCCTGTAGTCCATAGTTTTGTAATGAGCTTTGATCCACCTAAGTCTCTATATATTTATGCATATATATTTCATGTATAATTTTTGGAACCTAGAACTATGCTGTCTAAACTAGTGATTCCCACATAGCAAGCATCAGAATCACATGGAGAGATTAATAATAAAACACAGACTTGGGAGCCCACCCCCTGGGTATCTGATTCACTAGATCTGGATTGGGTTCAAGAATCTCTTTTGAACAAGTTCTCAGGTGATGCTGATGTGCTTGTTTGAGAACGTGCTTTAGGAATTGCTGGTCTACTTCTGTGGTTCGCAGCTTGGCCAAATACTAGAATTATCTGGGGAGGTTTTTTAAAATGTTAGGTCAAGTCTCAAAGTCATAATCTCCAGAAATTTTAAAGGTTCTCTGATGATTTCAATATTCGGCCAAAGCTGAAGAGTTCGAAAACTTTAGCACCTCCCATAATCACCTGAGACCTTACTGAAACACTGGTGGTGGCCACTGTCCTGGGATTCCTAAGTCTGTAAGTCTGGGTTGAGCACAAAAGTGTGCATGCCAGTCCAGTTCCCAGGAGGCACTATTGGTCTAGGAACTATACTCTGAGAACCACTGGGTAAAGCCAGTCTCAACGCTGGCTGAACTTGGAATCTCTTGGGGATGTGGTAGAAAATACAGGAGTTAGCTCCTCCTCAACCCTTCCTTGCCCCTCAAAAAACACCCTAGGAATTAAAACTTAATTAGTTTGCGTTGCAGTCTGGCAAAAGTGAGCTTCTGAAGTTTGGGTCTCAGTCACTTTCTCATCGAGTGGACAAAATAACTAACACACCCACCTGCCCAGCCCCCAGCTTAGGTGGAAGGTGCAGGCCATGGTTGGCTCCAAGGCAAAACCAGCTTGTTAGAAGGGCCTGGAGGGAGGACAGCTGCTGTCCCCCGGCAGCCAGGAAGCAGAGAGAGAAGGTCGGAGCGGAATGGGATACTCACCCATCCAGGTCACACCAGCGACCTGCTCCTTCCAACCAGGCCCCACCTTCTAACGGCTCTGAACGCTTCGGATGGTGAATCCACGGATGAGCATAGTGCCCCGACACTCCGACGGCCTTCCAAAGGCCCAGCCTCTGAAAACCTGAGTCTTTGGGGGGATGTTCTAGAGCTACACTGTAACAGCCTCCCAGAAGCCTGAGGATCACCGAGAAACCAAGCAAGGTGAAAAGGCATGGACGCATCATGTGCAAAGCTGGCTCTTCGCGTGAGTTGAACATGACCTCTTCCAATCAGAATGTATTTTAATCATTATATGCAGCAGATACCTTTGTTGAAGAAAAATACTACATTGAAATAAATGTAAGATTATGACAGTTCTTTTTTAATTTGAGAAATAACTAGGTTACTCCAGGAGGGGATTCTCTCCTCCCCTTTCATTGCTATAAATACACATTTTTAAACTATAACATGGTAACCCACCCCTTTGGCGATCTGTAGCTAGTCGTGTAAACAGAAATGTTATAACTGTTATTATAAAAGCAGTGTCTATAAATGAGAATTTATGCTTACATCTAAATAAACTTGAAACCTGATCAAGCACCCTGGCTCGGGGAAAATAACTTTGGGTTTGGACAACCCAACCCAGAGTAACGTTTTACTGCCAGTTCATGTTTTTTACATACAGGATCATTCTTAATCACATAGTATGGGAATAACTTGTCTGGTGCAGGCTAAGAGCTCAGATGTGGGAGTGGGATGGGGGAGTAGCAGGGTCAGCCTTAACTGGGCCTTCTCGGCCAGCTTTGTGATATCAGTGACATACAGATCTGTAAATGATTACTTTCTACTTCAGTTTTCACTGAAAGCAGTGACACCATTGTGTTTTAACAACAGTGATTTTAGTAAGCTGCCATTCATGACCCTTCTAGAATATTCCGGGGAAGTTACAGTTCTTACCCAAAAAGGCCTCAGAAATTTAGCACTGGAAAAGAGTTTAGGGCTTGTCAAATCTTTTCACTTTATATTTGAAGAACTATTTCACAACCACTGGAGTAGCTATAACCAAAAAGAAAAACCATAGCAAGTATTGGTGAGCACCTGAAAAAAAGATGTCCCCCTACATCACTGGCTGGGAATTTATAGCTGATTTGGAAGCAGACTGTCAGTTTTCTTAAAAATTACACATAAATGTAGCCACCAAAGGAGCAGCTCTGTTCCTAGGTATCTACCCAAGAGAAGGGGAAAGGAATTTTAATAGCAGCCTTATCCATAGTGGCCAGAGGTGGGAACAGGGCTAGTGTCCATCAACAAAATGTATTTCTGTGCCATGGAGTATCGGTCAGCAGTAAAAAGAGCAGTATTGATAAAGGGCACAACCTAGATGAACCGTGAAAATGCTAAGTGAAGGAATTCACAGAAGACGACACAGATGACTGCATTTAAAGGAGATGTCTAGAGTGGGCCAGTCTGTAGGTAGACTAGCGCTTCCTCGGAGCCGGGTGTGACAGGAGTGGGGTGGGGAGTGAGGGCCGGAGGGAACCTTGCTTTTCGTTGCTCTTACCTCAGCATCATTGAAACCACGGACTCATACATTCTAAACGGGTGGGGGTACGGTACATGAATTCTACCTAGGGAAACAGGCGTTGAGAGGGGAGAACAGCACTGCACGTCGCGTACTGGGAAACTTGAGGAGCAAGTTTCCATCCGCCCTCCAGGGAAGTCACCTTGGCCAAGGAGACGGCTGGGCGCATGTGCCTGGGGCAGCTTCCGGCCAGGCGCTGTGGGCGCAGGTGGAGACCCCGGGTTAGAGACGCGGAGCTCGGCCTGCGCGGGGCGGCCCTGTCCCAGCAGGACCCACGGGGCAGGACCACTTCTCTCACGTACACGGACGGAGCCTGTTAGCTGCGGCTGCGGCGGGGACCCTAAGCCCCGCCGTGGGGCCGTGCTTTCCTAAGCTGTCCAGGCCCCCGAAGCGTCACAGGGAGGGTCGTTGAGAGCGCCTTTCTCCCCTCGCTCTCGCCCGGCGAAGGTTCAGCGGCCTCCCGCCTGGCCCAGCAAGAGCTGAGGTTCCCTAAGCACGCTCTGGTGTCCCTCTATTGTGTGCAGACGCCGGCCGGCCGAGACCCGCGGCGCGACCCTCTGGAGCAGGCGTGGG